CTGGTAATTATAAATAAAATGACTTATTGAAATACTAATGATGTCTGACTTGTAAGTAACAAAGACAAAAAAAACAACGCAAGGGCATTCGTAGGGGCAGAACCAGACCATAGTTGCTAGGCAACAACTTCCTATGCACATGCAGAGAAAGATATACCAAAATCACAGCAGGATAACAACAATGACTAGCATCAAGCACATACAAGGAAGGTGTCACCACCAGGCTTACAAGCTTTTCTCTCCTTTGGTTTGCAGCTATTTTCACAACTGAAATTATAGCTCGTCAATGATAGCCACCTTTATAACAGCACAAGATCTATCTTGTTCTTTAGGAGAAAAAAAGCTGGAAGCTTTTATGTACTTTAGGCAAAGTATTGACACAATGATGACATGTAGCATGTTAAAGGACCACTAACCATTTTTTACAGGCTGAATTTTGCAAACATGTTTTGCAAAAAGTACTAATGGAAAACAATTATGGAAGGCTTTAGCGCTTAATATTTTTATATTAGTCTTGTAAATATATTATCACTGAACTTCCTATGCAGTAATCACAGAGGATACAGCCACTGGCCATTTTATGCCTCCAGTAGCAGCTTCCATAAAAGGATGTAGTTCCGGTAAACTACATAATAAATAACATCTTCATTTTCTATTACATATACATATAAATTGCATCCAAGTCTGATATGAGTATTTACAGACGTGGGTTTTCCTACGAATTGATATGCAGTGTTTTTTAACTAGATTGCATAAAGTAGTGCTTGACTGCAACCACCATTGCTTTTGCCATGCATGATATTTCTGGAAATACAGCAAGCCCTGTTCTGGTCCATTTCAAAAGCTTTTATTGCTTTATAAAAGGCAATGTTGCCTAAGAAAAAAAAAAAAACATATTTACTGCTTGATGGGCTCCATGTATCTAACCCCCTGAAAAAAAATTAGCCATGTGTCCTATTTCTATACATAATCATAGCTGATCAGGTCTAAGTCAGAACAAAACTACAACTCTCCCAGAATTCTTTGATTTTTTGCATTATTATCAGTATGTCATTATTGAGGGCTGGGCACATACTGCTGAGTAAAAGTGATGTGTGGATATATTCAGTGATGTTAACAGATCATCAGATATTTTCAAATAGTACCCTGCTTTTCCAACAGAAAAATTAAAGTGCTAGTAAACGCTTGTTGTTTTGTTGTAATAAGGCTCACCTATAAGCACCGTAAATATCACCTAAATGTGCACTGTTTGGGGGATAGCAGCAGCCTGTGATATCACTGGCACATGCACACTGGGCTCTGAATGGACTGTGCCATCCATTCAGAACTCTCTACCATGGAGTGGTGTCACCGTGGCTCAGCCATGCACACGGTAGAAATTAAGAATCGCAGAAAGGAGATCAGGTGAAGATGGAAGCGTCTACAGCAGTGACAGCGCTCCGCTGGAGGGTTTCGTTTTCAGGTAAGACTGCTCCACATACCAGCACATTACTACTTAATTTGCCTGGGGGCCCAATTTTTTTTGTGTGGTTTACTACAGCTTTAACCACTTGCCCTCCAAAAGCTTTACCCCCCTTCCTGACCAGGCCAATTTTTGCGATACTGCGCTGTGTTACTCTGACAATTGTGCGGTCATGCAATGCTGCAAATTAAATGTATGTCCTTTTTTTCCCCCACAAATAGAGCTTTCTTTTGGTGGCATTTGATCACCTTTGAGTTTTTTATATTTTGCACTATAAAAACAAAAAAAAGACCGACAATTTTGAAAAAATTATTTTTTTTTTTTTTCACTTTTTGCTATAAAACATATCCAGTAAAAAATAAAAAACAAATCAAATTGCTTCATACATTTAGGCCAAAATATATTTTGCTACATGTCTTTGCTAAAAAAAAATTCCCAATACATGTAAATTAATAGGTTTACGTGAAATTTATAGCGTCTACAAATGGCGGTATATATACTGGAATTTTTTAAAAAACATTTTTTATACTAGTAATGGCAGCGTTCAGCGACTTATAGCAGGACTGCGGCGGGCATTCTGACACTGGTGGGGAACTAACTGCCACTGACATTTCAATGACATCAATACAGTGATCAGTGCTAATAAAAAGTACTGACACTGTACTAATGACACTGGGCAGGAAGGGGTTAACATCTGGGGCGATCAAAGGGTTAACTGTGTGCAGTTTTACTGTGTGTTTTTTACTAGGGAAACATACCGACGTGCGTTTCTCTGCTGTGCACAGCCCCCTTCCCGGAAATGCAAAATCACGTATACATTATATATATAAATATATATATATATATATATATATATATATATATATACACACACACACACACACTGTATATGTGATGTTGCACAACCCTGCCGCCCTGTAGCAGAATTTTTGCTATAAGGCGGTCGGGAAGCGGTTACTATGTAACCTAAGCAATAAGTGAAATGCAGGGGCTGCCATCACTAATGTCCTAAACATTTTCAGTTCCTGGCTGTTATGCCAAGCTTCTGACTCAATACTTTAGATCACTGAGCAACAACAAGTATACCGATCTGTAATGTCAGCATCTCTTATTTGCATACATGTCCTGGGTCAGCAACTCCAAGTATTGAATCAGGAGGATCAGCGGGGCCAGCATCAAGCCACGATACTAGTATTGTTGAAATGTAGAAGTCAGCAATGGAAGCACTATATGTCTCTCATGACAGGTTAACTAAGGAAAATCTATCATGAAGTACAAGATTAAGTTGTTAACAAAGCATGCATTCTCTCACTCATGTGCATTATACATACCTCATTGGCACCCCATGTCTAACACCTCTTCATTCAAGTGCTACAGTTTGTCAGGCACCTCAACATTCAAACACTTCTGGAAGCATCAGGTGACTATGTCTCCTGCTGCTCCATGGATCCATCCACCAACCCCTACATCACTACAGTACACAGAAGTGATGTGAGGGTGAGATATGGAATCACAGTAGACAGCAAGGGGAATGGACTGGAAGGGCAGAATACCATGTCTAACTGAGGTAGCAATGAAGACATGGACTATTGAACAGATGAATGTAATTAGTATTATTATACAGTATTTATAAAGCTCCAATAGTTCGCTCAGCGCTGTACATTACAAAGGGGGACAGAACATGTGACAGAACAACAACAATACAATGCAAAACATGAGGGGATCGAGGGCCCTGCTCTTTCGAGCTTACAATCTAGGAGGGAGGGGATGGTGGCACAGGAGGAGATAGCTGTGGGGGATGGGGTGGTAGGAAGAGTGGAGGAGGTTGGCAAGTTAGCAGGGGGTGGGGTAGGCTTCCCTGAAGAGGTGGGTTTTTAGGGTGCGCCTAAAGGAGAGGAGAGTAGGTGATAATCTGATGGGTTGGGGCAGGGAGTTCCAGAGGATGGGTGACACCCTGGAGAAGTCCTGGAGGTGGGCATGGGAGGAGGAGACCAGAGAACTAGAGAGAAGGAGGTCTTGTAAGGAGCGGAGTGTGCGTGCTGGGTGGTACTTGGATATTAGGTCAGTGATGTAGTTTGGGGCAGTATGGTGGACGGCTTTGTATGTCAGTGTTAGGATTTTGAATTTGATCCGTTGCGCAATCGGAAGCCAGTGGAGGGATTGGCAGAGGGGGGTGGCGGAAACGGAGCGGTTGGAAAGGTGAATGAGTCTGGCAGCCGTATTCAGGATTGACTGAAGCGGGGATAGCCAGCGGCGAGGCAGACCAGTAAGGAGGGAGTTGCAGTAATCGAGTCGTGATATGATGAGGGAGTGGATGAGCTGTTTAGTGGTTTCTGGGGTTAGGAACGTGCGTATTTTGGCGATGTTGCGGAGGTGGAGTCTGCACGAGCTTGTTAAAGATTGGACTTGGGGATGGAAGGATAGGTTGGAATCCAGAATGACACCAAGTACTCTGGCCTGAGGGGCAGGTTTGATGGTGGCATTGTTGGATGTGATGGAGAAGTCAATGGGGGGTGGTGTCCGGGCTGGGGGGAAGACAAGAAACTCGGTTTTGCAGAGGTTCAGTTTAAGGAAGTGGAGCGACATCCAGTCTGATATGTCGCTCAGTAGGTGTGTGATTCGGGCAGAGACTGAGGTGGTGGGTTGAGAGATAGATTTGTGTGTCGTCGGCATATAGGTGGTAGTTGAAGCTGTGAGAGTGTATGAGTTGGCCAAGGGAGGAGGTGTAGATGGAGAAGAAAAGGGGCCCGAGGACGGAGCCTTGAGGGACCTTAATGGAGAGGGGGAGTGAGGGGGAGGTGGTAGGTAATGCTGAAAGAGCGTTGTGACAGGTAGGATGAGAGCCAGGAGAGAGCAGAATCTCTGAGGCCAAGGGAGTGTAGTTTTTTGAGGAGGAGGGGGTGGTCAAGTGTGTCGAAGGGCGCAGAGAGGTCAAGGAGTAGGAGCACTGAATAGTGGCCATTAGCTTTGGCGGTTAGCAGGTCGTTGGAGAGTTTAAGTAAGGCAGTTTCGGTAGAGTGTAGGGGACGGAAGCCAGACTGTAGGGGATCGAGGAGGTTGTTGTCGTTGAGGTGAGAGCTTAGGCGGGTGTAGACTAGGCGCTCGAGGAGTTTGGATGTAAATGGGAGCAGGGAGCTGTAATAGCTTTTCTATTGCAACAAACTGGCATTTAGATTTTTTAGGTGACTGACAGTCTCTCTAGAAGTTTTTTTCTGTATCAAATTATACACCAGCAAGAATTCCAGAAAGACTGAAAATTAGATAGGCTAGATCTTCTCATTCTTAACATTCAACATGTACAAAACTCCACAAGAAAGTCATTCCAGCACAAAGCTAGGTGTGGGAGTTCTGTGTGGGTGTCCTTACATTATTTCATTGTGATACTGTCACACCAAGCAGGAGACCTTTTTCTAAAGTGTGAACAGCTGCTTAATTTCCACTTCTAAATTATATGTGCATTAGCAAATGCCTTATCTTCTTTTTGAGATCACAGTTTAAGCTGGAACTGCACATTAAAAGGTGAACACAATATGCTTACCCCCATCTAAGCTTCGGGACATTGTATAGCGTTTACTTGATGAGCGTTCAAAATAGGGAGCAGGCCGATCAATAAGTGCACTTGCCCTTCTTGTCTGAGCTTGTGTTCGTCCACTGTAGCGGAACTTGGACCCTAAGGTGAGGAACTTTTTGGGTGGTGCTTCTGGTGACATCAGCCTATAAATGTGGATATACAGATATTGCATATTACAGATATATTCAGAAAAATAGTTTTAGAAGGACAGCTTCCAAAGGATTTTAAAGGGGGTGATACTCAATGAACTTGGCGTGAACTAACTTTGGATATAGGCACATTTAAAGCAGTTTTGATGCATTGAAGAGGGGCTTAAATTAAGATTGTAATATGTGAGGTGTGTATATAGTGGGGAAAATAATTATTTGATACCCTGCAGATTTCCTAAGTTTGCCCACTTACAAAGAAATGAAGCATCTATAATTTTTATCATAGGTGTATTTTAAATGATAGAGACAGAATATCAACCAAAAATCCAGAAAAAAAACACATGATACAAATATTATTAATTGAGTTGCAGTTTGGTGAGTAAAATAAGTATTTGATCCCCTGCCAACCAACAATAATTCTGGCTCCCACAGACTGGCTATGTGCTCATGTGGTACACAGATTAGTCCTCTCAATTTAAGAAGGTGCTCCTAATGACAACTCGTTATGTGTATAAAAGACACCTGTCCACAGAATCTCTTTCTTCCATTCAAACCTCCTAATCATGGGCAAGACCAATGAGCTGTCAAAGGACGTCAAGGACATGATTGTAGACCTGCCCAAGGCTGGAATGGGCTACAAAACCATCAGCAAAAAGCTAGGTTTGAAGGAGACAACTGTTGGAGTGATTATTCGCAAATGGAATAAATACAAAATAACCATCAAGCGCCCTTGGTCTTGAGCTCTATGCAAGATTTTGCCTCAAGGGGAAAGGATGATCATGAGAAAAGGGAGGGATCAGCCCAAAACTTAATGGGAGGAGATTGTGAATGATCTCAAGGCATTTGGGCCCACAGTCACCAAACAAACCCATGGTACCACAATACGCCACCATGGATTGAAATCCTGCAGCGCCCCCAAGGTCCCCCTCCTCAAGAAGGCAAATGTACAGGCCCATCTGAAGTTTGCCAATGAACATCTAAATGAATCAGAGAATGATTGGGAGAAAGTGCTGTGGTCAGATGAGACCAAAATGGAGTTCTTAGGCATTAACGCAACTCGCCATGTTTGGAGGAAGAAAAATGCTGCATATGACCCATAACAAAGCAAGGGGTCCATATAATCTGGTGAGTGTGGTCACTAAAGGGGTCACCACAAGAGGGGCATGGTTTAGGAGCACTGTTTAGGAGCACATTCTTAAAGAGCACTGGTCACTTTATTTATCTCTATTGAACACGGAGCACTTTTTAAGAAGAATTGATATGTACATTATGAATTTGAAGGTTTATTTGGAAGTTTAAAAGGACACTGTAGATTCAATCACTGTTGAGCGCCGTATACAGATTTCTGTTTAATAATAGTGTATCACACTTGAACCAGTAATTATAGTTTGTCATTTTTTGTGTAAAGCCATAAGCGCTGTTCACGTTTTGTTTATTTATGACCCTAAGAACATCATCCCTACAGTCAAGCAAGGAGGCGGAAACATTATGCGTTTGGGCTGTGTCTCTGTTAAAGGTACAGGCAGACTTTGCCACATTGAGGGGACAATGGACGGGACCATGTATTGTAAAGCCTTAGATTAGAACCTTCTCCCCTCAGACTGAACACTGGAGATGAGTTGTGGATGGGTCTTCCAGCATTACAATGACCCAAAACATACTGCCAAGGCAACAAAGGCGTGGCTCAAGAAGAAGCACATTAAAGGTCATGGAATGGCCCTGCCAGTCTCCAGACCTTAATCCAATAGAAAATGTATAGAGGAAGCTGAAACTTTGAGTTGGCAAGCGGCAGCCAAGAAACCTTAAAGATTTAGAGAAGATCTGTAAAGAGTGGACCAAAATCCCTGCTTAGATGTGTGCAAACCTGGTAACCAGCTACAAGAAGCATCTTACCTCTGTGCTTGCCAACAAGGGTTTCTCCACCAAGTACTAGGTCATGTTTTGCTTGGGTATCAAATACTTATTTTACTCACTGAAATGCAACTCAATTTATAACATTTGTATCATGTGTTTTTTCAGGATTTTTGGTTAACACGCTGTCTCTATCATTTAAAATACACCTGTGATATAAATGATAGACCCTCTTCTTTGTAAGTGGGCAAACTTGGAAAATCTGCAGGGGATCATATAAATATTTTCACCACTGTATGGTCAAAGGTTTCTGCATGAATTGCAGCTTGAATTAAAGTAGATCAAAAGGCAAAACTTGTTTTTCCAGTTTGAATACAATAGGATGGATTTATAACCTGTCAGGGTTTTTTTTTTTTTTTTTACCACCTATGTCCCATTGAGGATATTTCCTTTCACTTTCTGCCCCATAGCCAAAACAAGAAGGGACAGAAAATTCCTTGAAAGTTAGGAAATCCCTGGTTGCCACCGCAACTAGTGTCTCCGTTGGAAGATGTCCCCTCTATAACTGTTCTGGTGTCAACCCAAAATGTGGGTTTTTCTCGCACGTTCAATCTTGGTGATCATAAACAGGGCAAACAGGGAAGATGAATCTCTATACCTGGAGCACAGACAGCAATAAAAATCTGACTCTTGTTTATATCCCTCTCCACCCTATCCAAAGCTAAAAAAAAATGCCTTTAGTTTTGCTTTAAAGCCTATATCCAGCAATTTTATTGTTTCAGATAGAATAGAAACAGAATTTCTTTTAAGTTTCTATTCCTGTCTTTGACCCCACTGGAGAGACTTTCTCCACATCCTGCCATGCCCTTAGAACAAATAGAGGGTGCACGGGAACAGGATGGCAAAGTGAGGAAAAATCTCCCCAACAGAATCAGAGATGGGAATATAAAATAACAAAAATAAAATAATAGATCTAACCCTTCATGGCTCTATCAAAAACAAAATAATAGATCTAACCCTTCATGGCTCTATCAAAAACAAAATAAAATATGTTGGCTAGAGTTAGGCTTTATTTCTTCTTTGACCAATAAGAAAAACATTTACAAACAAACCAATTGGGAAATTATAACCAAGAACGTTATATGATTTGCTGTCTTGGTAAACCATTCACTTACAATAGTGTAATGAAAAACATGTGGTAATTATCCCCCTAGAAACTTTGTTTAAAAACAGTATACATATTTCTTCTATTTATAAGCCATTAACAATATAAAGTGCAGCTTTTTCCACAGTACATAAAGCCTGTCACATCACTCCGTGCAGTCAATGGAGCAGATAGGTTATTCTTTCAATCACACTGATTCACATATAAAAACTACAAGGCCCATTTTGCTTAAGCAAACCTTTTTTTGGATAAAAAAAGGCCTGACGGAATCTCAACCGTGCATAAAGCACCATCCCTTCAATAGAGAATAACTGAAACAAATTTTAAAATATGAACTGAATACAGTAAGATTTTCAGCACTCCTAACAATTGTGGCAGATGTGTGAAGAGCATTTCACCATGAGGAATTAGTCTTAACCCTCACTATACATATCTAAGAAAACGTCACTGCAACAAGAAAAAACTGTCCACAAATGGATTCATGGTTCAGCAGGGACTGGACAAGATTCGATCCATCTATGGGCAGGCTGGTTGTACTGAAGTAGATTCAACGATCAACTTCAGTAAAACCAGCCTGTCGGACTTGTGCATGCAATTACTTATGGCAGCTATAGCCACCATCAGTAATCATCATGTTCTGCTGGCAGGGAAGGCTCCCTTCTGGCAAAACACAAAAGCTCTGTGGAAGGGTTTCCCCAATCAACCCTGACTGTGTTAATGGGGGAATCGAGCAATTTTCTTTCCTGCAACCACAGGTAGAAAATCGCATCATCTATGTTTTACTTAAAGTAATTCAAAAAGGCTTATTTAAAAAAAAATAACAAACATGTCCTACTTACCTAGCCAGTGCAGTGATTTTGCACAGAGCAGCCTGGATCCTCTTCTTCTCGGGTCCCCTGTCGGCGCTCCTGGCCCCTCCCTCCTTTCAGGTGCCCCCACAGCAAACAGCTTGCTATGGGGGCACCCGCTGCTCCGTGTGTCAATTCAAACATAGAGCCGTGGTTTGGCCCTGTCCCCTCTCTCTTCTCATTGGCTTACTGGCTGTGATTGACAATGAGAAGAGGGAGTCCCAGGATAGCAGAGACTCCAGTGCACATCAATGGATCAGAGGGGGCTTAGGTGAGTACTGGGGGGAACTGGGGAGGATGCTGCACAGAGAAGGTTTTTTATCTTTATGCATAGAATGCATGAAGGTAAAAAACCCTGAGCCTTTAGACCCACTTTACGCCAACTTCACCTAAAGAGCAGAGTAAGCAGTCACCCTCCTACATGTTTTTGGGATGCAGATAAGATGCATAAGCTAATGAAAACTAAAACAATCAGCAAAAAAAAAAAATGATTGCATGACCTTTGGTGATGACTAAAACTAAAAGACAAATATTTCTGCTGACTAATCCTACAAAAAATAAAACTGATAGTGTATTATACCCGATAGAAATCAGTGTAGATCTCACAATAGATTCAGCAGCTATGCTCCTAAGAGCAGATTGTGTTACATAAAACAATGTAAACTAATGAAACATACCTAAAGAAAGTATGATGTTCAACGCACACTTTCCATAAGCGTTTTGCAGCCCGGTGATTTGGCAGCTTAAACCCAATGGTGCTTTCAAACTGTTCAAACTAAAAAGGAAATTAAATAAATTGGTGTTAAATCTGAATGAAAATGGCAATTGTTACAATGTTCATAAACACAGTTGTGTAAACATTCTATTAAACAAACACATAAAGCAATACATGAACACACTCCGACCTACAATTCTACCAAGCAGAACAGTCAAGACAAAGATCTTTGTATTGTGGGAGTTTTTCACCTTCTTCAATGCCTAACAATTTAGTGGAACTAGAAAGTGGACTGTGATAGTAGTAAAAGAAAGTCACTGCACTAGTGTATGCAGCAACTGTCCTGAAATGTATTTTACGAATCCCATGACCAAACAGCCAGACAAAAAAGACCAGTGAATTGTGCACTGTTCTAATGTGCAGCACTGAGTCACAACTAAACTATACTTTGTATTAAGGTGTTTATAACCCAATGACCCATTCAGTTTTATAACACAAAAAAAATAAACACTCTTTTTACCATCTTATTCTGCATATTATGGCAGAATTGAGCAACACCACAAATGGCTACAGGAGCAAACAGATTAGTCTATGGTTTTGGAAGAATTATCCTAGGCTATCATATGATAAAAAGAGACGGATAAAATGTTATTTCAGTTTGCAGGAGATATGCATAATAATCATATTAAAAACAAATGTGCCTCTATATCACGCAAATAATTCAAAAGTCTCAATATTTCAAAATGAGACAATATACAGGATTTAACGATGATTTGGTTTGAAATACATGGTGTCAGTTGCAAAAAATATCATACAACAAATGCTGCCAACTTAATAATTGTACAAGCATATTGCTTGACAAGCCACGTTTTGTTTAGCTTGAAAAAGGCCAAATGACTAATGAACAATTATATGATTCATTCAGTTCCTAGTTCAGCCTGCAAGCAGCAAACTATTAAGGGATATGGTGTTGATAAATAAGATATATACCCCATTATATATGTCAACTTACCTCACCTGGGCGAATCTTAATATAAAAATTATTTCTTTTATATGAAATTTTCAGGACCTTTGGCCAGGCAAATCGGTTTATCCGTAGCCGATCACGGTATATCAAGAGGCCACTGGCGCACACACCCAGCATTATTTCAACTCCTTCAGAGTCCTGGTTAAGATCAAGAAATTAGGTTAAGGATTTGGGGTTTTTAACACCACATCAAAAACATTCGCAAATGTGATCTTAATGTGAGAAAATTTAATTTTTAAGACTGCCTTCACAATTGTGCGTTGCGATTACATGCATTACCACAACACATGGTACAATGTGCATTAATGCAAGGACAAGTTTTATGGTTCCCTTTCCAAAATAACCAAAAATATGCAAAGAATGAAAGGTGAACTCCAGGCAAGCTGCTAAATACACAGTTTCAATACATATTAAATGAACAACCAAAGAATGTATAGTTCTTGGCAGAAGTTTTGTGATCTAGGCACCTCTGGCCCAGAGAAATACAAATCATCAGTGCCTCACAGCTTGGTTAAAAAGACCCTCCCCCCCAATCCTATTGCTTGGACAATGCATGAGAAGAATATGAAGTTGCTCAATTGCTTTCTACTCCTTTAACCTCCCTAGCGGTCTGATTATGTCAGTATTTCTGTGCTCAAAGCGGTAAATTTTTTTGCATGGATATATGTAGTTTTTTTATTGTAGGCCTGTAATTTTTAGGAATAACTCACTGAAATCTGTCCGAGCAAGAGTCTAGTAAACATTCCTGGTATGCTAAAATTTGAAACACTAAATCATTAATTATAATTTAATAAATAATCTTAAAAAATAATATAATAATACATTTAATTCAATAATATAATCAAACCAAAAACACTGAAATATGAAATATACAGCGCCAAGTTCGCACATCACTGAGCAAAGTCGCAAAATCGTTTTCAGTGTCTGATGACAAATTTCCCCACGAATCATTATCACTCAATTCTGCAAGTGGTTCTAATTTACTATCGCTGTTCTCTAGCTGGTCTAAAACCACTTGACATAAAGGGACGCTTTTTGGACGCCATGGACGTTTCTCAGTTTCCAGGCAGAAAGAACAGTAAAAATGCAGGCAGGGCACAGGACAAAGCACTCGGGACAAAATGTATGTGAAATGCTTTGATACAGTAATGTTTTACTATGTGATTTTAGTGTATTTAGTGAATGTCACTTTTTGACATTTTTAAATTTCCCACCAGTTCCGTCCCCCATACGTCCTGACGTCGCAGGGAACAGAACCCGGAAGACAGATGCCGGCATCGGCCGGAGGACATTGCAGGGGACACTGGAGGAGAGACATTGCAGGAGTGAAGGACAAGGTAAGTGAAGAAGAAATCCCGGAGCAACGCTGCAGGGTATTTCCGAGTGTAGCTCGGGGTTACTGCTTGTGGTGCTGAAACTTTACCCCGAGCTACACTCGGGAATACCTCCAGGGAGGTTAAAGTGTTACTAAACCCACAACAGTAAAATCAGTCTGTATATGCAGTAGCGCATGCTTGCTATACTCACTGTGGAACCTATATGCAGTAACGCATGCTTGCTATACTCACTGTGGAACCTAAGGGGTTAATCCTATGCATTGTGTAAAAAGGCTGTTTAATCCTGATTTCTCTGCTCCTCCTCTTGTTTAAAATGTCCACGTCTTATCTCCTGATAATACAGACTGAACATGCACATGCTCAGTTTAGTGTGTATTGCTAGAGAGGATTTTTTTTTCTTGGGAGAGTGCATGCAATCAGCACAGGGCCAATCAGCACTGACAAGACAGAGGTCAGGGGTTTTGCATCCTCTTAGAGCAGAAAGAAAACTCCTCCTACAAGCTTTAACATGTGCTCTGCTGGACACAGATAGAAGTCACAAGACTGCTCTAACTGCTGATGAGAAAAGGTATTTAGCAGTTTCTATTTACTAAAATAATTGCACTTCCATGTTCTGTGGGAGACCAGATATAGTGAATGCAGGGTCCTGGGTTTAGTAACACTAAGTATGTGCACTGCAGAATCTCAAATGGGTCTGGTCTTAGTCCTGTTGTACAGGGAATTACAGGAGACTGATATGAAGACACAATCTCAAAAATGATATAACTGGAGTAATCTGTCTTACTTTAAACAGAAATTCTATTTTAGCTCTGTTGATGTCAAGGGCAAATAGTGGCAGTGACTCCAGAAGCACATGACAGCCTGGTTGTTAAGAAATAATCTGCTTGCATTGATTAGAGGCTTCACTATTCTGTCATAAGACAAGCAGTAGAATAAGAAAGCCAAAATGTTCCATTGTGATAGAGTGCTTAAAGGATAAGTTCACCTTTTGTAACATGTTACACCAATATTCAGGAAATAACATGTAACATATTACAAATGTAAATCCCCCTATAGTGGCAGTTACTTCTCCCCCATTGTGACCGATCTTCTCCCTCTGCTAGCGGTCACAATCTTGAAAAGAAAAAAAAAAACAGGCCCAGACGGGACTCTCCCTGCCCTCCTCATCTATCCACAGTGTTCTATGAACCTTTGCAGCAGCCAGCCTGTAGTTCTCACTGAACTGCCAGGGCACTGTTGAGCTCTCTAGGTAGTTAATTGAGCTTCCTGTCAGAGTTGCCTGCCTGTATCCTGTAGCCTGCCTGTGTACACGCACACAGATACACAGACAGTCTGCAGGAATGTGGCATTACACCCATCTGCTGATCATGGATGCAATGCTCTACAGGTCTCTCACACACAAAAAAAAAATTATAATAAATACATATTTTTGTACCTGCAAAAAAAATGTGCATTTATTATTTTTTTTGTAAAAGTGAACTTATCCTTTAACCCAAACTACCCATTTTGGTTGCTTCCAAACGATTACTTGATTTAAATACTACTAGATTTTATGGGGTAAGTAACAATCATTTTGTTTACCTAAACCACTAATTTGTTTCTATTTTTTTAATTAATTTATTTTTTAAAACTGCTTTAGCGCCGCCCCATAGCAGACATACCGCTACAGGGTGGCAGCTGTGCACAAAAATCACACACATATATATATATATATATATATATATGCATCCAGTGATTGCTGAACATCTCCAATGGGGGGGAGGAACTGTTTGTAAACAAAACAGTTCTCTCCCCTGTCAGCTCTTGCACACTGCTTTGCATGGCTGTGCACAACACAGCCACGCAAAGCAGTGTACTTACAGTGAAGCACTAACACAGCACACTTCGTAAAACGGCGCACAGGTAACCCTTTAATCGCCCCACATGTTAACTCCTTCCTGCCCAGTGCCATCAGTACCGTGTCAGTGCTTTTTATTAGCACTGATCACTGTATTGGTGTCACTGGGGATGTCAGTGACACCAAGTCAGTTCCCCCCAGTGTCAGAATGTCTGCTGCACAAGTCGCTGATCGCCGCTATTACAAGTAAAAATAAAAAAAAAAAAGCCCAGTATATTTACCGCCCATTTGTAAATGCTATAACTTTCACGTAAACCAATTAATTTACACGTATTGGGATTTTCTTTAGCAAAGACGTAGCAGAATACATTCTGGCCTAAATTTATGAATAAATAAATTTTTTTTTTATTTTTTACTGGACATGTTTAATTGCAAAAAGGCAAAAATATTGTTTTTTTTCCAAAATTGTCGGTCTTTTCTTTTATAACGCAAAAAATAAAAAACACACAGGTGATCAGATAACACCGAAAGAAAGCTCTATTCATAGGAAAAAAAAGGACATAAATTTAATTTGGGTGCAGTGTTGAATGACTGTACAACTGTCAGTTAAAGAAACACAGTGCCGTAACGCACAAAATGGCCTGGTCAGGAAGGGGGGTAAGTCCTCAGGAGGGAAAGTGCTTAAACTAGCAGCCCACAATAAAAAAAGCAGCCTTAATACTTACCTCCAGAGGGCAGTGACTACTATGTTTACTGTGCTGAAAAGCTACAGCTGCCAAACATTCTTTTGCAATCTTCATGCTTGTGTTGGATGTTTAGTCCCCCGCTGTGTTTCCTTCTGCTGGCCCCTACATCATAACTGTGACCTCTACGTCTTACCGCACGCCAAAGAGGTAAGTATGAATGATCTATTTTTTTTTTATAGTCCCTTTAAAGGAGTTGATTTCATTGCACACACTTATATCCACTCAAACTGGCACATTGTACACCCAATCAAAAACAATTGTGCACTAACAATATAAACACAAATTACCAACTTGCAGAGCTACAGTCTTATAATTTACATGAAAATCTTCTGCCAAAAAAAAACAAAAAAACTGACAGCCAAAAAAGCTGACATTTGTAGAAAAACTATTTTCTTTCTCTCATCAGCCTATTTTCTGCTTATTTAAAAGCAAATTTTGAATGATTACAATAATAAAATAAAGCAAGGACTATTTAATTAATTAACAAGGGATTCAACACTTGCTTATTTTGATTGCAATAGACACAAAATAGTCATCTCTGAATAATAACCCTCCTTCATACAGCACTAGCTGCACATCTAAACAGTGCAGTTAGCTTTCCCTGCATTGAAAGATGTATTGCATCCTGGCTCACATAATAAATGTCAGGGAAATAGAGTTTAAAATGTATTTTCCACCACAAAATACATGTGACTTCTAAACATATTACACACTACTTCTACAACCAGGCGATGGAGAGATTAATATTCCCTTGATTGTGGCTCACTAATGTATAAGAATTTTAAAGTTTATTTTCCACCACAAAATACATGTGACTTCTAAACATTATACATTAATATGCCCTTGATTGTGGCTCACTAATGTATCAGAATGTCTAAAAGACCTGGTTAAGTGACCATACAAGAACATAAGTATGGTTTTACCTTAACTTACCTAATGATATAGGAATGTCATTGTAAATTAACCATATGGCCAAGCCCACTAATTTCTTTTCAAGGAATGCATGTTATTATCTTTGAAAGCTAATGTTGCTTACAATTGGTCAAATGATACCAACTAGTCCTGTATATACAACAGGTAAAACTTGTAAGTGAGTCTTGTCTCAGAGCTTCATTATGCATGCATCTGGTGTGATCATTGTGCCACACTGCAAAGCCAGGGGACTCTTTAGTAAAGAAAGCATCTATAGCTAAATACTCTTGTTACATTTTACAATAT